CCCCCCCCAAATTCTCTCCTCCATCCCACTGAGGGGGGGGAGGGAGTGAGCGAGCGACTGCGTGGTGCTTAGTTGCCAGCCGGGTTGAACCACGACAACAAGTAAAAGAAATTAATCATTACCAAGGTAATAAACTAATTTTGTTTTATCTTTGCATTTTTCTGCTAAGAGCTGAAAAGCATTTTGTAAATATTAAGTATCCCTCTAAGCTGACTGTTTCTATTATTGACATATTTAGAATAATGGAAGCAAGAAAAGTACCGATGACTGCTGAAAGTCAAACAGAAAGTCAATGGCAAAAAAGAGTACTTCAGATTCTACAGTCCTGATTACTCACCCACAGTCTTCATCACACAATGACACTCCTCTTTCTCCCAAAGACAAGATGATTTACCACTGCCTTCTCCATAATTGGAATATTCATAAGCAATTATAGCTGTGTTCAAAGAATGTTCTTAGACCCAAACTCTTGAATAAAACTATTATCAAGGATTAAAAAAAAAGAAAGCACATTTGTACAAAAAATAGCACATCAATTTTATCAGGTTGTTTCAAATCTATTTGTGAAATCCATGGAGTTGTACAGTAAATATACTTGCACTTCCATACTTTTAGAGACCCTAAGTCTCTTAACACCTGTGACAACTTTGACTCCAAATAAGAAATAAAGTCATTATGATCCTGTTAATGTGGAGTCACAAACTGAATTAACTACCAAAGTCACGTTACCATTTACAGTGTAAGTCCTGCAATAAACATCAAGGAAAAAGGAATAGAATCTCTTCAGATTTACCTGAGGAAATGTAAACAATTCATAATACCAGAGCAAGTTGAAAGGGTCATACATGAGAAAGCAGGCAACTTTTCAAGTTCAAAACTTATCCTTTTAAAAGGTGTATTTTGGCACTCACTCCTCTGGAACTGAAAAGCAAGATACTCCTTATTTTACGTCAGCCTAAACCCACAGAGCCTCCGGGGGGCTTCACCAGGCTTCAAAGCAGGCCCCTGGAGAGCTAGAATTGAAAACAAAAAGAAAAATGCTAAAAAAACTGCCGCTGCCCTAACATCTCTGCTCAGCACTAACCAGGCTGCTCTGTACTGGCTTAGCAGATCAGGACACTTTCCTGCACCAGTGAGGAGCTCGGATATCACTTGCAGCACTGGGTGCTTTATCTCATGCAAAGAAGAAAATAGCATGGCAGGTTTATGCCAATTCCACGCATGTGCCGGAGCTGTTAAGTGAAAACCCATTTTCAAAGTGTTTTGATGGCCTGGGTGAGAGCCCTGGTGCAGGCCGGTGCCTCTGTAGAAAGATCTGCCAATGAACGGGTGCTTTCTGCACCTGGCAATTGCAGCCTTATCGAATAAATTCGCTTAAAAATCCCACCCACACACTCCACCTGGCACTAAAGCAAACCTGGAAGGCTTTGTGTCATTGACCCTCAGGCTGAAGGGATTTTGTTTAAAACCCAGTTGTGCATACTCAGCCTCAAAGCAGTCACACAACACTTCCCTCCCCAGCTGGATGGCTGGGAGTGCTGGAGGCTCACTGGCAGCCACGCAAACCCCTCACCTTCCCAGCGTCCCCCAAACCATGCCAGTGAGACCCAGTGAAATGTGGGTGCTGAGGCCTTCTGGGGGCAGAGCCGTGAGGGATGTGGGCAGCATTGCTGGAGGCGAGCCCATAAGCAGCCGCTCCTGGGGCCGCACAATGGTGAAAAGGCTGATGCTGAGAACCCAGAGGCAGGCAAGTTCCCTGAGGGGGAAACCGAAAAGCAAAACAAGAGGTGGTGCTCCAGCTTCAAAGAAAAAAGTGGCAAAACCCATCCCGGATATCTCTAAAGTCTCCTTACTTTTCTTTAAGCAAACAAGAAACCTGTTGCTTATAAGCAAACTAAACTGAGCTAAACTTTTGTACTACAAAAAAAGTGAACTGTTTGACTCCACAGGTACATACTGATAAACTTTCCTACAAAACGATTACCACTAACTTTGCAGAAGATGACATGAAATTGCAAGGCAGCTATACACACAAATTCCAAAATTTGCATGGATTTTTCTAAATAAAGTCATTGATGGTGCCTTTTCTCTAATGAGCCAAAATGATGCATTCTTTAAAACTAACCTTAAAGACATTCTAAGTAGTAGAACCCAATAATAAAGGAATGGTAGTAGGATGTCTCTACCGCTGTGTTTATTCACTGGCAGCTTTAAGAAAAATCAGATTTCCTGGATGGATTTATTTCAGATATTTGCAATAACGTGACTTAGGAAAAATATTTCAGATGGGACACAAAACTTATTGGTACCTGCTTAATAAAGCAATGGAATTACTGTTTTCAGTGTCAGAATGTAATAATGGTCTTATTTCCCATTAGAATTTGTTCTTAATAACTAAGTGGATAACCACAGATACTGAAAGACTTGAAATTCAAATTTCAACTTAAGTTCAAGATATTTTCAATGTGACTATGTCATATTTCACTCAAAATCACATTTTAAAAATCCACAGGTAAATAAACAGTATGCAACTTTCTTTAGCTGTTTTGAAAAAAAGTCACTAGGATTTGATTTCTGGCAGAGTATACAGCTTTTTTTGATCTATGTGACTTCTACTCCGCTCCCCCTGCAAACACTGTGTATCTATCATTCTGCGCATTCTGGAACACGGTGCATTAGAGTAAAGCATCAGCCATACAAGAGCCCCACAGCTGGCAGCTATGTTTTGCAAACAGACCTTAAGAGACAGGTGTATGTTGAGTTGTCTGTGGTGGACAGGACAATGGTTCATAACACTGCAGGATAATCTCTGTGGACCATTCTTTTGCAATAAAGGGAGACTGGCTCTGGCTGTAAGTTGTAAGACAAATGACAAATACAGACCCTTCCTCGAATTTCATCAGGATGGTGAAGCCATCTATAGGGGGAAAATACTTGATGTATTCTAAGAATTATTTTACTAAATGTCATCGCATTTCAGTTTTAGGTGTTTATGATCCTAAGTTTTTTCTTTAGAGCTGGCTGAAAAGGAACAAACATAACGCCCATAAATTCACAGGGGGTAAAGACAAGGTCTTTCCACTTGAACACAAATACCTGAAGCCCTATTTTCAACTTTTAGCTTCTAAAGCTACTGCCTTAGAAAACTACTAATCAAATGCAATCAAGAAGAGAGGTGCTCTAGATTTAGCTGTCATTTGTGGCTGTAAGAAGTAGTGGAGCAATAAATGTAATACAAAGGAAAATGCCAAACCCTTCAGCCCAAGAGAAGATCTGCACTGAACCAAAACTTTCTAAGGAGCTACTAAAGAATCCAGCTGATAATTTTTACCATACTTTAAGATTTCATTTCCACAGTTTAAATTGCTAAAGTCACTTTTGAACTCAGTGGGAACAGTCCAAAGTCGTTGGCAGGACTCACAACACGTACACTGTTAGCCTCCAATCTCCCCATCATTGGCAGAGTCTATTTGCTAAAGAACTGGTCCAATACATAGTTAAGTTACACTTAAGCACAATGTATGCACAGAAAAGTAGGTAAGAGGACATCTGAGGTAAACAGTGATACAACAGAAGGTAACACCCAATAATTATAACCGCACATGGTTATGACTTTACTTATACTGCATTGTTCTTCCTTTCTATTTGTTGAATGCCTTTGTTCTTTATTGCCTCATATTTAAAGAATACGTAAACTTTACTCTTAGCCCTGGGGAGTTCAGCTCTGGGGAAATGACACGCACAACCCTGAGAAAACATAATGAGGAATGAGTCTCAAGAGGTTCAAAATTCAAATGTGGTTTAATTGAAAAAGTTGAAAAAGATCAGAGGAAAACATCTTCTCAAATAATTTCAGCTTCTGCTGTAAACAAAGTTGAATGTTTCTTGAGTTTTCACCACTAATAATGTCACTGTAAAGATCAAGTATGCAAAACAAAATTAAATAAACAGGACTGATTCATCATTGCACTCCAGTTGCTTCATACTGCTCTGGTGAAGCAGTAAATCCAGAAAATCCATGTTGTTAAACCAGCTTTATGGCTGTTCTGCATCACCAAGGTGGCACAGAGCAACTCATCACAGATGTAGCACAAACCAATTTGAAAAACCTCTTCTTATTCTTCACATCTCTGTCCTCTACCTCTCTGTCCTCTCTCCTCTTTGAGCCACTGTTTGGGCATATTTTGTGAAAATTAGCTGGAGGAGCAGCTCAGGCACTTTACAATGCATTACCTGCAGTCAGGGACACAGCTGCCCCTGGCAATTTCGCAGGATTAAGCTCACTAGTTGCCCTCCTGCTCCTTTCACCCGTCCTGAACTTAAAACCTATATACCATTACTGTCATGTTACTCACCCTGAAGAAGCTCCACAGCATAAAGCTGGTGCGAACTGAAGATGATCACTAACCCTGACTCATGTTGTACAACAGCGCCCAGCTGCAGTCCAGCACAGAGCCAGGGCAGGGCTGGGATCAGTGAATGTAAATGGTACAAACAGATGAACAAATCTAATGATGTGTTACTAAGAGCTATAATAGAAGGGGGGGCAACCCAAAACACTATACCTCAGGAAAAAAAATGGGCCTATGATGCATACCTGCAATTTGTAAGATACTGCTCAGCAAAGCACTTATACTGCCATTGCTGAAGTTGAGCTCTCTGAAGCACTTTAGCACACTTCAGTTTTAAATGAAACACCTCTTACAAACACTTCATGACAGTTCCCGGGTGGTGAGACAGAGGCACCCACTTTGGCACTATCCACCCACAGGTGAGAAAAGCAGGACATGCAGTAAAGGTAGCAGGAGCGTAGCAAAGGTGCTAAATGCACTTCAGGCCCCCTTCATGTGTGAGAAACTAATCCACAGCTGCTCAGTTGCATGCAAGCGGTTTCACATGCTATGCTTGTGTCTGGCTGGCTGCCAGCCCATTGCAGAGGTGGGAAGCAAAAGTGAACCTCCTTACCCATGTATTTCCTTTAGAACAGGGAAATAACTTACGACCTGTTATCCAGGTCAGGAGATAACAAGGTGGCCTCCCCAGGTGCAGCTCTGCACTTTCACCAGCTCACACCCCCTTTATACTCGCAGCCTCACTGTGTGTCTCCACTTCAGCACTGCTGTTCATGGCCAAGTCCATGGTGCAACTGCAAAGCCCACATTTCCTTACACTAATATGAATTTTTTCCAATTCCAAATGAATTTAAGTCCTGTTATCAAATGAATTCAAAATCATCTTCTGATATGCAGGTAAAAGAAGGAAATACTTTATATATCCTTTGTCCCTTTTATTTCCAAAAGACCAGCAGGAGAGTTCCATTCTTAGGAAAGTCCAGGGGAGATTAAAAGGCACAGGCAAATATATTGTTAATCAAAGTTTACCTAAAATTGCACCAGGAAGATTTAGGTGCAAATACTATGTTCTAGAACCCCAGATGAAGGAAGAGTTCAAATTTACTGGTATAAGGACAAGGGAGACATCCACTTGGGTTATATTCACTTCTCTCTCAAGTGGATGGTTTGTAAAAACCACCATTGATACATTCACCAACTAACACTTAGGAGAGGACATCCGCAGACACTTACAGACTAATGTTAGACTACAACTCTCAAATGTTTTAAACCTACAGGATAAACTGTAAGTGGGAGAATGAAGAATAAATACAGGTACAGAAATGTAAGTATGGAGGCTGATGCTGACAAATTCTGAACAGCCCAGCTCTCACTTATGTCACCACAGGTTGCATTCCATGTGCTTGAGACTCCTGGAGATGTGTCTGAGGATTCCCTTTTGGGCTTTTATGGTTTTAGCCATTCAGGTAGGATTTTCATTAAATTAAGTAACTCATTTTCTGTTCAGTTACCAGCAGCATTTTCAGCTCAACTGGTAGATGAATCTACAGCATTTAAAAAATCTGAAGCGTGTTTACATGGTTTTCAAGAAAATTATGCACACGCATTGAATCATTCCCTCCTGCCCTCTTTTCATTGGCTGTGATCACACTCCTTTGAAATGACATAAAATTACAAGTGTGAATTCATGATTAACTTTAATTAGCAAACACCTACAAATCAATTATTAAATTGTCACCTAATTAGCAGGAATAGTAAGCTGTCAGAAGTAATCAGTGAGAGAAACTTCAGAGAGGGATGAGAAAACAAACAGTTCCGAGCAAACACACACTCAGGTTCAGCACCACCGGAGAGGAATTGAGATAGGGTTTAGGAGGCTCTGACCTGCTTCCCAGTTCAAGTCATGAGGATGTTCAATAATTTCTGTAAAACTGCAGGTCCACAGGCTTCACTGCAAGTAGAAGTACAAATGAATGGAGCTGCAATACCTAGATGCTGTGTTACCGCACTGTGCTTCTCCACAGCACACAAGCTCAGGACTTTAGGCGATTTCATTTTATATGTATTTTAATAACATTGTATCATCCGGAAGACTCTTTTAGCCATCTTCTAGCAGGCTACACAGATGGGAACATGTTCGGCCATCCTGGCCTCTCTATTCTTTCCCTGCTTCATCTCCCTTTCAGTTCTTGGCTCAGATATAAAAATATCAAGAGGATTCGGTGGGCAGAGCAGCCAGGCTATTGACACAACTGCAGCTTCTTTTGCTAAATTGGATGGGATCCTTGCAAGAATTCCTAGGGCTATGCTTTTGGCTGGTAATACCATAATTCATAAGCAATATGATAAAGTGTCTCTGAGCTGTGCTTCATTGTGACCATACTTTTAAATATTAGAGAATGCACATCATAAATCATTCCAGTGAGGGAAGAAAAAAAATCGGTTAGAATTTTGCATTTCCTGACCAGCTTATTGCATGAGCATATGCATCATATGCTACCCAGGGTGGAGGGTAGGTGCTGGTTTTGGAACAGAGTAGTTAGACTCAAGTACCATTCAGGTGATTTGTTCCTGACAGCAGGCATCTTGCTGAATTTCTGGTGGAAAAAACCAGATCGCTCCCTTGGTGGTTAGGGCAATAAAGGCACTTAGTTTTGTTTATAAAATAAATTACTCCAGTAATGCAATTTCATCTGCAAACATCTAACAAGGAAAAACAAAAAAACCCAAACCACCAAACATGTTTCCTTTCTTTTTGCCTTCCTCAAATGAAATACCTCGCAGAAGGATCTTTATTCATCTTCTCTCCAATAATACTATTTAAAACATTAAGTCTTTCTTTACAACACTACTCATGTAAGTAGCAGTTCTAAAAAGTACAATGTACAATGCTCTTTATATGAAAAATCATTTATTCTTTTAACATGCAGTGCATAGAACAATTCCCTTAAGTATCAGTGTTTCTAACTCAATATGAATTTGGCTTTCTCTCTCCTCAGTTTTACTTGTCTAAAAAAATCGTATCAGCACAAATGGCATTATGCAATGTACCTTATAATGCTCCTAATGTAAAAGCCAGTCTTAGTCTGCTTTCACCAGAGATTCCTGCCTATGCTTTAACAAAGGTAAGTGAAAGGAAAATTTGGAGTCTTTAAAAATCTTTATAAAAGAGCTTAATATGGCATATCTTCATAACAGGGAAAAGTGAAAATACCTTTTAAGAAAGCAAGTGCCTAAGAATGTCTGGCCCAAAAGACAAGTTTTAGAATGGTCCCAAACCCTGCCAGTCATTGTTATCATGACCGTCAAGCACTGAAGACAATCACAGGGTAGCGAGCTGGCAATTTCAGTACCAGCTCTCAGGTAGAAGAAAACATTTTATTCTCCATCTTATTCTTTCAGAAAGCTACTCAGAAAAGACCAAGAGCTAAAAGTTCTAATGACCTCAGAAAAAGATATAAGGATTACTGTGAATAATCTAGTTATACAATGTGCTCTGAATTTCCCGGGCTACAGAGCTGAAAAAAAAACCCCGAATCTGTAAACCAATGTGTTCTCAGTCTTGTTGCAGTGCTTTTTTTTTTTTTCCTGAGAGAGGAGCATCACAAGAACAGCAATCATCTATGCAAACTGTATGCTAAGTTCTGAAACCTATTCTTGACTTAAATCTTTGGCAAGGCATATGATAAGGATATCTCTGATGCAGTTGATTAACTGACTACCTTAGTCTCTAACTGGAAAGGATTGCCGTTGTGAGTTTCCTAGATGACACAATGCCTATTTAAGAGTGTATGTTTGAGCCTGAGCAGTTTTCAACAATCGGATTTTGCTTATGAAATGATGCTTCCTACAGACGACGTTATTTTTTCAGAGGACGAGAATGATTCATAATCACATTGTTGCCTTTATCAGAATTTAGTATTTTTCTCGCTCCATCCTACACCAAACCAACAGGTCAGACAGCCAAAATGTCTGTCACGCTAGACAAAAAATACCCTCCTGTTGTACTGATAATACAAACTGTTTATTAAAAAAAACCACCAACAACAAAAAAGAAAATAGGCGGAGAAAAGATTTTTTGCTGAAGACAAGCAGCTGAAATCCCTTTCAGGCTTATCTGCTTGAATTGAGGATTATCTACTCCTCATGCAATACTAAATATGATAAAGAAAAACATACTGCCTTGTTTCAGCACTCACACTAAGAGAAAATGCTGGTCTTTGAGCTGAAATAGGAGCATACCAAGCACTGCTGCTGCTAAGTATTTTATGCAAAGGCCCTTAATACCGGGAATTCATGGTTTTGCCCCACTAAAATCTTACATTCACAGTAGTGTAACAGATTTCAGGAAGAACCTGTCACAAATTTCCTTCTGGATTGAAGAACAGTGCAATGACAACAGCATGTTTTCTACACAAAACCAATGTGATGCCATGACAGTCCCACACAGCTCCTTCCTTCAAAGCCTTGACAAACCCAGAATGAAAATAGAGCTCATCTCCTAATTCCACATAACAGGTATTACAATTTGAATACACAGAATGCCAGTGTTTCCTTCTCTTACCTTTAACAGGCATGTGCTGAAAGAATGCTCCAAGACATTTTTCAGCGTGCTGGTGAGAGAGGAATCCCTGACTTACATAGGTCAGCTGCCATAGCACAGTACTGAAATTGTCAGACGAAGTGGTCAGAATTACCCAGTGGCTTGATAAAAATCAGCTTACTTCAGATCTCATCTAGAGACAGCGTACAGATAGCTACATGTTAGAGAAATGGCAAGTATTACAGGACCGAAAGGACAACTGAGGAACAAGCCATGAATTTACTAGTATAGGAAATGTAATGTTATTTTTTCTAAGCCATATAAATGAGTACTATGAACTTTAAAATATCCAGAGTTGTCCTTTGAACAATTCTGTAAAAGTACAATGTTTATGCATATGTAATTCAAATTATCACGAAAGGATCCCAAACTTTCTCTCATGAGAGAAATCTCCCAAATGGTCTTTAAGTTCCTAATATTAAAAAAAAAAAAAAAAAAAAAAAATCTATTTACTCTGTTTGCCACTTTCCTGCCTCTTAAATTTACTAAAATAATGAAAACATAGTCCATGCATAAAGGACCCTAAGAAACACTTCCATCAATTTAGCCAAAAGCAGAAAAAAGCACAGCAATGAGTAAACATTGAGATTTCTCAGAAGAGTGAAATCATGACATCCCACAGGGTGTCTCCTGGAGAGTCAGCAAAACCTCCGGATCAAGGGCAGACGGATCCAGCAAAACCTCAAGTTTCATTTTGCCAGATGTACAAAAATAAACATCTTGCCATTACCTCATGAGAAATAAAGTTTAGCAGATAAATAACATACACTATGATACAGCTATATCATCTGCCATGTTTGCATAAGTTGAGAGGAGTTTAGTCCTTGTGATAAGTGCTAAGGTGGATCAGTAAAATAAAGATTATCCTGGCATTGATGTAGGGGCACAAGTGGTTCTATGGTTGCTCTTTATTACCACTTGTAGCACTGCTAAGATCAGTGGTTAGGGATAAATTTTATTTAGTAAGTGATCTCTCTGCTAAGTATAAGGAATAAATTCAGAACACAGCAAATACCATGGTAAAATGTTTCATTAAGTAGGCTCTTTCTGGAGCAGCCAGGAGGTCAGGAAAGATTGAACTTCTTTCTGTCAACCTGAATACAACTACAAATCGAATCAGCATAAGCAACTATCTCAATTCTCAGTCACATGCATCAAACGTGGGTACTATTGCTTTTACTATGCATTGAAGACTAAACTGATGTCCATCTCTGGAAACTTTGCTAACCAATGACACAAAATAGTAGGGGCTGGTACTAATGAATCATACTTAGCTATATACAGACGTGTGCACACTTCTTGTGACAACAAAGCAATAGCAGACAACGAGTTCTCTGTGGTAAAAAGATGATCTGCATCACTTCCTTCGCAGAGAGACAAAATGCAGAAGGAATATCCTCCCGTGGTCTCTGCTGAGAAATCTGGCCAATATTCATTTTCTGCTGTGGAATCTATTTTGTATTAGTAATCTTAAAACATGCAGTGGTTCTGCAGATACTTAGCAACCAATACAAAAATGGTGATGAAATTCTGTTTCAGCACTAAGTCTTCTTTTAAATAGAAAATGAAGACAATTTAAATTTTCTCACAGATTTTGTATATGCAAGTCAGGCTCCGAATCAATCCCAAGAGACTGAAGAATTACACACATTCCCAGAAACATATGAATACTTTGAATCAAGTGACACCGTCACATGCAATGCAGGTACCATCGCTATTACTCTTTATTCCCATGTAAGCTGATGTTTGTCTCTGGAACCTGTGGAGTGATAATACTAATGAATAATAATACTACAGTGAAAGCCGAGACCTGCACTCAGGCCAGAGCTTCATTTGTTCATTCAGCCCCAGCACTCAGGATTTATCAGGAACAAAGGATGCCTCATTCTTTCTGGAGCGTAAAAAAAGACATGGTGACACACCGATTTATTGCTGTGCTCTGTGATATGTCCTGTGCAAGGGAAATCTACCTCTACCTTTAGAAATAAGACAGGGGACAAATTATGTCACATTTCTTGGAACCTTGGAAGTAGGGAAGCAGAAATGGGACTTCTCTTCAGAGCCAGATCGCTTGGTCTGTCAGCTTTCTGTAACTTCAGAATATGCATTTCTAGTGTGGCTGCACAGCAGCTACAACTCATTTAAATCAAGGCAACCATGGGCTTGCTGTTCCTCAAGTCACTAGCCACGTACTCTAGCTCTGTCACCGTACCAGCACTGACACCTGTGAACCAGAGGAGTGAGCTGGGAACTAATCACTGTTTGAAGAACTGCACTATCCTTATTTGAATGTAAAATGATTTCCAGCTTACTTGTGGAGGTTGGCACTAAACACAGCTTAAGCCTTAAAGATTTGATCATTCAGATGTAAATCAGGGAAAAAAGGGCCACGGGCTCACATAGAAGAGTTGAATGCACATGGACTGTAAAAACTGTACTCTCTTGGAGCTGAAACGGGGTCTCTGACCATGTAATGCTGCATGTTCTTAAGGCTGAAAAAGTAGGACAAAGCTACCATGGGAAAAGCACTTCAAGTTCCCAACTTGATACCTAAAACATCAGTATGTCATGGATGGTTTTAGGGCAGCTTAAAAAATAGTCCTTGCACACTATGCACATTTTATGGCCTGTGATTCATAAAATACTCTGTCAGTTCATTAAAACACTGTAAACAACCAGAAGTAACTTAAATTTAAAAAAAAGAAAATAGTTTAGAATGTAGTAAAAATGTAAATGTAGAGACAATCTCCAGGAAAAGGGAAGCTCCTGATTTTATAACCCAGTTTAAGAAGCACAAAACGGTGGAAGAGTAAATACCACAAGCACAGATGTATTCAAATTCACTCCTCCTGCACAAAGGACCAAGAAGGGTCTTCAAGAAACACAAGTGTGGGCAAGGAGAGGGACTGCACTTTCAGGGAGGTGATGGAGCAGATGTAGCTCAAATTATGGAGCAGTTTAATTGGAGTGTAGGTTGCTGCAGCCCCCCACCCCTCAGACCTGGAGCGATTAGCGTTCAGCCTGGTCAGCCCCTTGCAGCCTCCTGCCGTCTTGCAAATGGTAGAGCCAACATGAGAGCAGGGGCCACAGCCCAGGGCTGGCCCAGGGGCAGGGACAGAGGTCCTGCCTCTGCTCCCCTGCTCAAGGAAAGCTCCTGGGCCAGAGCAGCTCTGAGGTGGGGATGCCCTCACCACTTTTACAAGCTACCTACGGCAATTAAGAAGGAGCCTTTGATTTTCTACAGACAATACAATTTTTGCTAAAACGTTTAGAGAGGGGTCTCTAGCTAACCTGACAGGTGGGAGGCACTTTATTTCTCAAGAAGAAGGTAACACCAATAAATAGCGTACAGACAAAATCCTTTCAACTGGGTGCAAACCTAGGCCTCTCAGAAAAAAAGATGCAGTTTCCAACAAGTTGTTAGTGTCAATGACTGATAACATCACGTGCCAGGATGCAAAGAAATCTCCGTCAGGCATTAGCTAAAGCCCTTCTGCCAAAGGCAGGTGGCAGGGAGACAGCATTCACTTCTGCAGCGCTCCCTGGGGATTCAATGTGCAAAGGTATCATCAATCTTAAAACTCTGCAGAAACAAGAGACTTTTGGGGGAAGTCAAATAAGTGAAATATTGACCATTCCTTAAACAAAGCTTCCACCCCATTTACTGAGATTTCAAGTTAGGTATAGACATATTCATTAAATAATTCAACCTCAGTTATCATGGTACCTTAATTGCAAGGATTTTAGTCTACATCTCTCAGCCCTGTCTCTCTCTTTTCTCAGCTGTTGTCATTCCCATTCCTCTTCCTTCTTTGTATGAACAATGTTGTATAGGGATAACTGGGTCATTTGAAAAAGCTCTCACTTTTACTTGAGAGCTGACAAAGCATAAAACCCCTTCAGAAGGGTATCAGAAGTAGGAAATACACTGATATTTGACAATGAAAAGCTTTTAAAAAAAAAAAAAAAAAAAGGAAAAATAAAAACTTTAAATTACTCTCCTAAAGACCTGAGAGGATGAAATCCTTTAAACCCATTAATATTTTGGCAACAGTTTGCAGTTATTAAAACCATGCTTGACTGAAGGTTTTCTTCATAACACTGAGTTATAGAGACACTACACAAAATTCCATAACTTTATGTGCTACTTAATTCAAAATGATGCCCTCAAGGGGGGAAAAAACCCTCCAAAGCCACAACCCCCCTCAAAACTACACAAAACTGTCCCCTCAAAACCCAAACCCCCAAAAGATGTAAAGAGGGGGAGTAGCACACAGCCCCTTTCTTTGGCTTTCTCTGACATCTTGCCCTGGAGTCAGGATTTCAGAGGAGTCACCAAACCGGCTGCAGAATAAACCAGAGGGGATACAAACTGCAAATCTTCACATTTACATAAAAATATTCAGGTTATTCAGAGGGGAGGGGAGCCCCACGCCCTCTGAAGGCCACAGTGCTGTAGCTCTGCAGGCACCGCTGAGCTTTGGTGCTTTAGGCAAAGGAGGGCCCTGCTGGCAGCATTGCTGGGGAATCCCCAGCTGCAGCGCTTCACCCCCCGTTGTTGAGGTGCTCTGTGGGAGCAGGAAGCATGGGTTGCCTGCAAGCAAATTATTTTCCTCAAACCTTGGTGAATGCTTTAACCAATAACCAAAAGATATTTTTTTCCCCCAACTGCAGTGTGTGCCAAAGGCTGCTGACTGACTACAGCAGAAAATTCACAAGTGCAAGATGATGTTTCGCTTTACTCTGCATGAAAGTTGTGCCACAGACCCCATCTCCCTCCTCAGCATCTCTTTTAAGCAGATTCCCATTCAGTGTGATGCCTTTTTAGGTGCCATTTCATATATATATATATACACGTGTGTTAAGTAACTGAGGTAAATTTGCTGAATCAGAATGAGGGAGCAGAGGAACGGGGCTGCATATGCTAGGAATGTATATGCTAGAAAAAGGATATAATATTGGTTAAAACCAGCCCTGTGGTCCGGCGTGAATATGCCACGTAGCCCAGTCCTGTGGTCTGCTGCAGCCAAGGTTACTCAAGATGATAAAAGAGGGACCCACCTCCTGTGGTCTACCACAGGCAAGGTTACTCAAGATGATAAAGAGGGACCCGCGGCCTTCCTTCAAAACAACCCCTAACGACCACCATTGCGCACGCTCAAGAGGAGGAACACCTGCTTGAAGAAAATTTAAATACGAGACGAACAAGGGGTGATGAATATTAATGTAATAGTTGTGAGACATGATAAATATGTAAACTAGCTCTGTATAAATAAAGGCCAAAAGGATGTGACCTGGCGCGCCTAGGTGGAGCTGCGACTCCCCGGCCGCCCAGCGCTGTTTTTGCTCCTTTACTTTAAATAAATCCTTGATTGGACTTATGAAGTAGTGGTCTCAGTGTTTGACCATAACACACGCATATATATATATAAGGTGCTAGGTTTACAGTTTAAGCTCTTGTAAGAAAGTACAGAACCCAAAAATGCAGTTTTGCAATAGTCAGTGTTCTGCAGTGAAGAGCTGGTTAAGTCTTCATATATCTAGGGCTCATGCCCTTGACAAAAGATTATGAACAGACCCTAAATTAGAAGTTGTAAGTAACTGCTTAATTTAATTTTAATCACTTTGAGGCAGGAAATATTTTAGATACATACATTGGATATATTGCATTTGGTGCAATAGTAAAACCCGCAACATTATTTGTATCTTATGGCTTTTAAAACCATTCAAAGATTATAAAATAGTTAGTCTGACAATAATTTGGTCCTGATAACTACATAGTTTTCTCCCCAGAGACTGATCAAAAAATAGCTTCTTTATGGATTATTTGTATTAAATTCTATCTTCAGAAACATGTAACCGAAAATATAGACATTGACCTAAAGCAGTTCAGCCGTAACTGAAAGGACACCAATAGATGAATTTGGAGAAGACAGAACTCTTCCATATGTTCTTTTGAAGATTAATTGTAACATCTGGAATACATTAAATATAATTTCATAAATCCTGATATTAGGGAATTTTAAACCTTTCTTATTATAGTCAACACATAATTTCGTGAGTTAAGTTTTGGCTTTCTCTTTGTCCATATAAAGCAGTACCTGTTCAGTTTCTGTGAAATAAACTTCCATTATATAACCATAAGCATTACTTGAGAAATCTACCATAGACTAGTATCTTTATTGCATATACTCACTTTAATTGTGCCCTGAATTTTCTAGGCAGAAGGAGAAATTAATTTGCCATACTAGGTAAGATGCATGAATATAAAAAATAGGAATTTTGTTATTGTTGATTATAATGTTATTTTCTTGCCCTCTGTGTTTTCTTTTATGCAAAAAAGGTGATAATAATATAAATAATAATAATAAATAATAGTATATTGATATAAATAATAATAATAAAATATGACCATAAACAAAAGCAAGGGTGGTAAGAAGTTAAATGAATTGTAAGCCCTGCACTGATTTAGAAAAAAGTGTTTATCACTACAACCAAAGAAGACCTACTGTAAATGGCTCATGGAACGTCCTGTAAAGTAGTTTCATCATGTTTGTAACATGCAAAATCCAGGAAAATATAAATTTACTTTGTATCTTGAAACACTTTCTGATGGTGAGTTCTGCAGGCACATCATACAGTTTTGTAAAGTCTACTTTCCTTTTTCTATTTCTATGTTTTTAATCCAGAGCAGATTATTCTGGATGGTATCTAAGGGACTGAAACACGCCAGATACTTGCACAAGTGTGGAAACAGCAACACCGTGACGTACCAGTCCTGCAGGACCACGATTTGTATGTCATGCTCACACCCAGTGCCCTGCTGACACCCACTACTGACACCTGAGTCCTCTTCATAGCATTTCTTATCCCAGAGATGTTTTCTGCCTCGTGGTTCCTGCTGTTCTCCAATTAAAAATAAAATAACGTAATAACTTAGATATGTTTATATAATATCAGCACATAATTAGTCCTAACAAACAAAATCAGACAACCAACCAAAAGAAAACCTGCCCCAAATGCAATGTTTAAGCCCAGTTTATCCTTCACCAAAGTCCAGCAAAACAGTGGTTTAGTTTTTGTTTTCTTAAGTTTAAAAATATTGTAAAATTATATAAATACATCTGGGTTACTGAATTTTTAATTTGCAATTTGAGATGGGAGAGCAGGAAAGATCAGTAGAGAGAAGATTGTTTTACATATCAATTTTGTTTTAAGACCACAGTTTTCCCTTATTTGCACCCAGGGAGAAATATACAAGTGTTTTATTCCCATTTAATGAGAGTGAAAGGGGTAAATAGGTTCCTCAGAAATTTGATTTGTAATGTGAGAGGTTATTTGGTATCAACAGCTGTTGCATCACAGAGGCAGAAGATAAATAGGCTGTCTTGATGACACATATGCAAAACGCAGATCTAGAAGAATTAATTGTCTTCAAGAATGCTTAAAAAATACCCCAAACCCTCAAAAAATAAACACAAAAGGCTAAATAAATCAAATATAGATGCTCTTCTAATTTGAAAAGGGCTATGCAGGAATTCCCCCTTATACTGAAGGCAAGCTCAGCACATTTTATTATTAAATTCTGCTGCTTAACCATATCATGGCATAGGATTATGAGGGGAACTCACAGAGAATTTATTTGCCCATGTGACTGTATGTAAAGCACTGCATATATCATGAAGGGACAGCTTCTTCCCCAGGGGACTAAGCAGAGGTAGTGAAGATGCAAGGCTGCAACACGCGCACACCAACCACGTACCAAACTGCAAGTCCTCATCAGCCAGATAGAAAAGCAATCAGCATGGGCATACAGACCAAAAAGCAGGAAAATCAATGTCTCTGGAGGTGCATAAGATCACAGAGCAACTTCCTGCTGCAGCACAACTCTGAATTGTGTTAGCAGGAGCAGTGTTTCTGTCATTGCTGCTTAGTTGATTAGCTGGCAAAATCAAGCCTCTGAAGCTTGAAAACTCCAGTAGAGACATCTTCTGCTCAGCCTGGGCTTCCTGCTGGAGCAACTCAGATGTGCTCTCTGGACAGAGATGACAACGTGGTTCACCTTTTATACTTTGAGGTTGCAGACCCTCATTAAAGATGTATTCTGGCTGTGCTCAGAAGGGCTTTGACATTTTATATGTATTATATGAAATACAAACATCAGGCCTTGCTATACATTCCCTGGACTTGACTTTAGAGAGCCAAAGAAAGCCTAAGAGAAGCCTGCAAATAATTCCATGGATTGAGGCACTGCAGAGTAATCAGCATAATTTAAAATCCAATATGGCCAATGTCAGTATGGTTTGTAGAGCATGCTACTTTAAATTAAAAGGAATCCAGCATATTACCACACTAAAGACTCTTAAGGGATGTTTATTCATCTTGCATCTTCCTTTAAGCGTAGCTATAAAGTTTGAGATTAACCATGATATGCAAAAGCATTTTATTACTGCTTTCAGTTCTAATGTCGAAGCTGAACAATAGCTGTCATATTCCATTAGGCCAAAAATCCATTGGTGAAATGGTGAGTGCACAAGCCCCATAAAATCAATGCAAAGACCAATGCTGCCAGTTCATTTCACCTTCCCTGTTCAACTAAAACTCTAGAAGCTTTAATGGGCAATGAGATTTTAGTTTGATGATACCGAGTGTTAATGACGGCTGTGGTGACACAAAGCCCAAGGTCAGTTAACACACTAACTGCACAGCCCGTCTGAGAAGTTGGGTAGACATGTAGGCTAACTTGAACTGAACTCTCTGATTATCCCAGATCCAGCAATTCTAAGCGAGCTGTGAGATGTTTATATGAAGAACGTTATCTTGAGTGATTACACTGTAGATGAAGTTTATCATGGTCTGGTAGATAAAACCACCATGGCCTATTTTCAAAACAGACCAATATACATTTTACTGGACTTTTCATGATGCCACCATGTTCTTTTCACACTGCTAATTAAAGGCTGAGAAGGAAAAACTAATAACTCAAAAATTTTTAATTGATCTTTGAAATGAACCATACATATAATTTTTTATCAACACTCTAGTTGTCCTTACCTTAAATATCAATGGTATCAACCAAGAAGCTTGGCAAAATGGAAACAATTCATCTCTAAACAAAGACTAGATCTAAGGATGCAGGAACAATGCTGACTGTACTTACCAAAAATAATAGTTACTACTTCCTGAGAGGATGGCATCTCTGGGGAGGCCACTGTTGTTCTCAGTGCTGCCACTGAGGCTCTCATGATTGCTCTCCTGAGTAGCTTTCATTCCTCCACAGAGCTTCACAGAAAGACCACTGCAGGGAATTATTGATTCAGTGAACTTTACTAGAAAACAAGGCTGAAAACAAGACTAAATACCAAAGGTCCCAATAAACACTTGGAAACGCAAGCTGGCTTTAGGCACTTCGTAGTTCTGCAGTCATCTGCAGTACCAGCAGATGCTGCCTCTTACTGTCCTATTTCCAGACCTTACAATGTTGCAGGAGTTTATGCCCCTCTTAAGATGTGTTTGCAAGTAGCAGAATGGGAGAATTACTCTTTAAAAAATCAAAAAATTAAGACACAGAACTGCAGTAAGATGACAACAGCAGCCTTTCACCAGTTTTGCCAATTTACAGATAGAAATCCAGAGCTTACTCTTATGAAATTTTATAGATGATTATTCTATTTTTTACTTAGTTTGTTGCAGATTTTAAGCAAAAAAAACCCTGCACTCACAAAATTCATAAACATTTTTTTCCCTAAATAATTCATGATAACTAGAATCATAGAGTCATAGAATTGTTTAGGTTAGAAAAGACCTTTAAGATCATGGAGTCCAACTGTTAATCTACATTGCCAAGTCCAACACTAAACCATGGCTCTAAGCACCTCGTCTACCTGTCTTCTAAATACCTCCAGGGATGGGGACCACTTCCCTGGGCAGCCCATTCCAATGCCTGACACCCCTTTCTGTGAAGAAATTTTTCCTAATGTCCAATGTAGAGAGCAGTAAGGTCTCCCCTCAGCCTCTTCTTCTCCAGGCTAAACAACCCCAG